GTTCAATATGGCAAACAAAGTAATAACTTGATCTAAGTAAGAGTTTTTATTTCTTCCTGATTTGTAAAAAATCCTTACGTGATAGAAAAAAAAAGAATATTATTTTGGAAATCTGCATAGCTGACTCATGTAAAATATTTATTAAAACCAAAACAACTTTTATGAAGTTCAAACTTGCAGGCCTGTGTTATCAATGCTTAAAATGAATATATGCATGTACATATATATATATTCTGTAATGTAGAAGAAATGACAGCTACAAGACATCTTTTATTTGGTGCAGATGAATAATGATGAAATACTGTTTTTTAAATTTATTTAAACTATCCCAGATTTAGTCAAATCAAGGGTAAAAGAACTCAAATAAATTCTGGCAGGACGAATCTGAATTCCTAAGTTATACTTACACTCGGCTACAGTTTTAATATATTTGATCTATTTCCTGTCATTGTTTTAATAATTATAACAATGTTAGAGTGAAATTTTCCCCATAGTTGCTCTATAAAAATGAACATCCTTCAATTCCAATTTAATAGATGAAATATGAAACATAATAACTCAAATTATTTAATCAATTAATTCAATTATCATTTGAGTCCTAGCATTTTGAGTTGTTGCTCTCATAATATATCATGTTATATCTAACAAACCAATGGTAAAAGGAAGCATGAGATCTACAGCTAACTATAAAGCTATAAAACCTAAGATCTCTTTAGAATAAAAGAAGGTGTAGATTACACAAAAAACAAAGGTAATTATTCCTCACATTACAGGTTTAACAACATATAAAACTAAAAACACTATGATGACAGAAGGCCATTCAGTATAATTGAGTTCCCTTTTCATCCACACACACACAAACACACCAACTACACTTAATACATCTCTTTTTTTTTTTTTTGTTTCATAACACTAATGCTCTTCTTGCACTAGCAAATCTTTTCAAAATTTCCATGCTTTACATGAATAACATTTCACTTCTTAACATTAAAATCCATTTTTCATATTCTGGCCCATTCACTAAAACTGTCAAATTCCTTTTGAATAATAAAAATTCTTGACAGAATAGGCCATTTCTATCATTGTAGTATAAACAACAAAATTACAAGTGCTACTGTAGAAGAAGCTACAGTACCCCTGGTGAACTGAACCCAATAGGTAAGTTGCTAAGTCAGGAAGTTTATAGATCTGAAATGCAAAGTACAGGTGAGTCTGACTCGGCCACAAGAAAAAAAGAGACTAATACAGTGATTTCATATTAAAACAATATTGTATTAAACAATTGAGAGAGGCACATGATTTCAGGAGTGAAAAAACAATACTTTTCTCTTTATTTGCAAGGTCAAGTTTCTGTTATCTGAACACTAGAGGGCAAAAGATGAAATGCACTCAACAAAAACCAGGATCATTCTTATCAACAATTAACTTTACTCAGAACTCTATTACAATACTAAGATCCATTAGACTACTCAGTATATCATGTCATTGAGGTTATCAATGAGGCAGAACTACCCAAAAACCAAAATTTTCAATTTCTCTTTCTCCCCCATGTATAATCAACATATCAGAAAGCACATTAAGACCAGTTTAACAAATTATTCAGCAAGTCAGCCAAGTATGAATCTCAATAAAGGCACGAGTAATGCAGCTTTAGCTTAGGTGGATTCTCTTTGTCTAGAACTAGACAAACTTGCTCTTAAGTTCAGAAACCTGAACTAAAATTTAAAAAATAAATATATATAAATATATATATATATATAGTATCGTTTAATTTATGTTTCTACATTTCACATAGCAACCCAAATCATTAACAAAATAATGAACAACAAATAGAAATTTTGAAAAAACAAAACCTCCAACAAATATGCAAGAAAAGTTTTATTTCTTTGATCATGTAAATTATTAGACCTGAATAATGGCTTACTTTTGAAAATCTTCTTCCAGACTTGCTAATCGAGCTCTGCAATGCTCATTCTGGGATCGGACCTCTCTCAGACATGCTTCTGCCTCTTGCCGATGCATTTTTTCTTTCTCCAATTCTGCTCTTAAGTCTTCACTCTATTTGGAAATGCACAGAGTGAGAAATATTCTTTATAGAGAATAATAAATAATATGAAATAGGTCTTCTGGATAATTCTTTTCATCCAGTTTTAATATTGGAACGTAATTTTTAGCAAAGGCTTATTACAATTATGTACTTACTTAATAAACACAACAAAAATGTATTTAAATTAATTATGTTGCTGTAACAATAGAATTCTGCTTCAAATATGTAAACAAAAACTGGGCAATGTTCTTTTTGAACATCAAGAACATGTAATTATAATTAGTTGAAAGAGCAAAATCAAACTGTATAAATATATGTTTAAATTTTACAAATCACAATGAATAAGAATTTTATAACTTAAAAAAATAACAAAAGTTGTGTTTGTTTCTTTTAAATACTTTAAATGGACACATTTACATGATGTACAAGTTACAGTATTAATGCACAAGTACAAGGGCATCAAAAATCCATCAAAGTGATTAACTCATACCTCAGTCTTCAAACTAAGTTTTTGTTCTGGTGCCTATTAAATACTATTAAGTGCCTATTAAGTTTTTCAGCTGAAACAGTTATTCAGCTTTTTGTATATTTTACTATGCTGCATTACATAAAATGCTAAAGGCACAGATCAATAGCTCACAGCAAACCTCATTAAATGTTTACTTACATTAATCAGGGAGTTATTGAAAATTCAATAATAATAATAACAACATACATGATGTAAGAAACAGCCACCTGTGGTTTCATATTGTTGCTAATAGAAACATAAGAAAGAGCAAGGTGAAAGAAGGATATTTCGCACAGTGAACTAATGAATCTCTCCATTCAGCAAAAGAGTCAATGTATTCATACAAAACTAAGTTAGTCCTTGATGTATGTATTTAATAAATGTTTAAAAGAATACACACTAATTGTAGTTTTTGGAAAGTTTGAATTTTGCTATTTTAAAAATCTCTGCATTGAATACCAAACACAGTGAACTCACTATTTTCTGTAGGAGTCTAACCATAAATATATGCTTCCTTATCTTAAACTCGTTACCCCTGATACTCCAGCTTTTTCAATCCATCTTTCAAACATACCATCTCCTAACTTTGGTATATACTTAACCAATAAATCAAAAATGCATCGAAATAAATTTTACTGTTATAAAAATGAACTTATGATAATTTTAAATTACCAGTAACTAGAAAGTGTGGACCCAATTATCAATTCTTGAAAAATGTCCTTATGATTTTCTTTTACTTATAGATTTAGGTTATGCACAGTCTATTTCAAGTAATAAAACTCAAAATGTTTTATATAATTTTTGCAATATTTAACAAACAACATTTGTCATTAGTAATACTTGTAAGGTAACCAAGCTCAGAAGCAGGTTTTTAGTCCTTTTCTTTCAACAACACATGCACATAAATCCCTGTTAAGTATTAAAACTAAACTCTCATTATAAAAACAACAAAATGGTATTGTATAACTAATAAAAAATGGGAAGATGACAGGTCAGAATTGAGGCCATCTGACATTGGGCCCATCAAGGTCACCTAGACCCTTACTGTGCTTACACGAAAACTAGCTGATTATGTCTATGCTTATGAAAGAAATTTAGTCCTAATGATGCCTACAAAATTTAGTAAATTAAATGTCAAGAAATAGCTCATGGTTACAAACTTTAAAGGTGTCTTATAAAAAATCAACATTGATTCACTAAAGGGAATTCTTCCCTTACTAATCTGATAACTTTTTGAGAAAGTTATGGGTTATCTGGATGATAAAAAAGCCTTTGGTTAGCTAAAAAACAAAAACAATCGCATTTGGCCAGCTGGGGAAAAACTATTAAAATGATGATGGTGAGGTATTATACAATTACGTGGATCAATTATTCAGTTTGACAAATATTTAGCAAGTGACCTTTAATTATAATAAATAAATGTAAGACAATGCATTTTGGTTATCATAATTTGGAACATGTGTTTAATATAGATGGGAGTCCACTTAATAGCATGACTGGAGAAATGGATATTGACTAAATTGGGGATAATTCCATCAAACAAATGTTCTGTGGTTAGTAACAAAGTTAACGTGGTTTTATTTTTAGGGTGTATTTATGAACATATCGATTAAAAGTCAAAAGACGTAATTATCTCCTTATACATATAATCAGCAAGCCCTCACTTAGAATACTGTGAAAAGTTTTGGTCTAAATATATATACGAAAGGTTACTGGCTTATTGAGTTATTGGAATGGAAGGGGTTCAGAGGAATGCCATTAGGGTGGCTCAAAGGATGGAAGGGTTATCTTATGGGAATAGGTTAACATATCTTAATTCCTAATGAGTGGATCCATAGAATAAAGTATAAAATCCTTCTAGTTCTTTGTGTTAAATTCTTAACTTACGATGAGAGGCCACTTGTTTATGATTTAGAAAAGACAGGCTTGGCTCTAGTTGACAGTTTTATTTTTCTAACACTGGGTGATTGGCTTATGCTGTCATTAGTTGCATTCGGCACTTTACATGAGCTAAGAAGGGGAATCGATAATTTTCCTAAAAATAATGAGTGGGTTTAAGTTTCTGCTATCTGTTAAAAGGACTGGTGGTGAAGAGAAAGCCTAGCACAGTAGAAGTAGAAAGACGAAATGGGCCCTTATCCGTATATTACGTTAAAATTAATTTATTCGGGCGTTACCGCCAAACACCCTTCAAAGTTCTACACCGCAGCAAACCACTAATACTCTTCGATAATATCCGAGTGTTTTACCAATCTTGACTTTTAAAATACTAAGCAGCTGTGCGTTTGAACTTGCCACTTTATAGAAGTTACAGGACTTAGTAATTACAAAACTGCCATGACACGTTACCGTGTTGGGCCGTTTTCAAATTGAAGAACATTTTACTTCAAAGACATATGGTACGTCCTCTAGTGATAAAAGTGAGTACATTCTAAATACTTTCCACAATAACTTTTGGATTCGAGTAACTGAAATCTACCAATCCAGGAAAACAAAACCTAATTATTACATGATAAAATATGTGTGTGTGTGTGTGTGTGTGTGCATATATATATATTATACATAAAATAAGAAGTTATAAATCCATGTCTCATGATTAAAGTTATTTACTCTTACGGACTATTTCCTTGAGTATTGCATATTCTTAAGTCTTTTTTAAATTCTGACATACTTTTACAAAATTTCAAAATAAACTTTGTTTATGTTTGTTTGAAGTTAAGCACAAAGCTACACAATGGGCTATCTGTACTCTGCCCACCATGGGTATTGACACCCGATTTCTAACGTTGTAAGTCCGTAGACATACCGCTGTGACACTGGGAGGGGGGCTTTGTTTATGATTAACGATAAAACAAATTACTCAAACATAGCATTATTTCACCACTGAAGAGTTAGTAGTAAATTATGGATTAAAAGGTGAAGTACACACACACACACACACACACATACATACATACATATATATTAACATACATTACTATGCCTGGTATCACTTGAGAAAAGAATTTAATTTTTGGAAAGTTCCACGACAAGTGTTTGTTTTTAACGAAAAAATCTAATCAATGAGTAAAAGATACAACTTGCAAAATATTCTCTCGCAAAAAAAACAATTTTCTTTTTCAGTTGATTTTTTTATCCAATTTTGAGCTAGAACATGGACATACGTAGATAATCATCTCGTTGTCTACAAAATTGAATGAATACATCAAATACACTTAGAATGCATCTTTTCTCACGCTGAATTTGGAAATTAAGATTTGACAACACACATTACACGCTGGACGTGAACAATACATCAGATATGAAAGGTAAAAAGAATATACATGATATCCAGTAAGTTTTGCATAAAAAACACACCACACCTCTCAATATTTGCGAATTCACGTTCTAAACAAAAATGTTTATAAATAAATGGAGGCTGTAGCGGTTAATAAAGCTGCTTTAGTCAATTTTCAGGTATTCAATTTAAAACTTGTTTATTGTTGGACATACAGATTATAATATCTATGGTTACAACGTTTCACCAGGTTAACTTCGCTTCATCAGGTACAACAATTAAAAGAAGTGAACTCTAGATCTAGATAATGCGAAAAACTAGAGGATGGGTGCATTGGTATTTGATTGGTTGAGTTTAACAAGACTGTAGAACATAAAAAAGATGAAATTTAGTTGAATGAGCGGCAACTGCTATATTTCTATACATGAGGAATCTTATAAAATCAACTGGAAATCAGCCAAATTAATACCTACAACTGACATTAGCGTAAGCTGACCTTCAATGGAGTTTGAAGTTTGGCAATCTTTGAATTAACGAACCTTCCACAATTTTTCTTTCGACATTTACTGAAACTCATTACATGCTTATTTAACTTACTGTAAAAATAAAAAATCAAATATGGTGATAACTCCTCATTCGTTTTTTTTTTCTGTTTTTTTTTCGGCGAAATCTACTTATAATTTATAGCGACACCTAGTGTTTCTATTTTGATTAATTTTAAAGTACAATTCATTCAAGCGTTCATAAAGCAATCAGAGCTAGAGCGGCGGAATGTAAAGATTAGGTTATTCGAGTTACTTCATACAACTGCAACCACAAGGATAGTAGACACTGTTCATCTAGTAATTTCTTATTGACACACCCTGTACGTTAGGAACATACGGGCCAATCAATTAACATTTTATTTGATCAGAAATCGCACTGTCGGTATGAAATCACTTGCGACCGTAACAATTTATAAATGAAGTACAGAAATGGAAAACATTACATAAATGTTTTACCAAAGGTGTTTGTAAATTAAAAATAGTAAATATTATTTGGAAATCAAATAAATTGAGGTAGTTTTTTATGTGACATACTTCTTTGATACTACAGTGAGATAGTATCATCAAACAGTATTTTTGAATGATATGTATAGCATTTTACACGTGGATACAGAAAAACCCTTAACTTCTTTAAGTTGGAAATAATCTATAATTTTTCAAATTTTGCCTGACGTACCCACA